CAAAGCACGTATTTTCTAGTATATCTAAAAATGAAAAGATCATATATCTAACTATTGTTAATCGTGAAGGAGATTAATATAAGTCTTGAGGAATTGTTTTGTTGTTATATCTCTTCTAATTAATTTTAAAATGAAACAGCAAAATCTGACTTTGGCATACAAAATTTAATTACTCGATTATGAGTTGGTGAACAATTACGGTAATGGACCTCAAACGTTTGAAATTTTGAGTATACGTAGATGGACAATCCGATTACTAAGATGACCAGTTTTAGTATTTTGGCATTGCATACAATGATTACTTTTGTTGGCCAATTTTTGCAATAACTAATTTGGAAATCCCTTACCCAACAAACAAATCTAATTCCTACGGTACTTTGCACATTGCTAGACTTAATTGATGTAAAAGACGGTGCATAGACTATTCAATATTATAGGAAAAATTTCTGGGCAGAAGTTTGTCTTTGCAAAGGACAACTCCAATTTTCTTTTTATTTTTTCTATTCTATGCATTTTTTATATCAATAAAATTAGCAAATACTTCACAACAAAATAATTTTCATCCTACCAGTTATTGCATTCATTTATAGATGTGAAGTCGGATTCTCAAACAACAAACCGACAAGTAAAGCCTGATTAAGCTCCGTCAGAAAACTATTGATGAATAGTTTAGACATACTGTGTTTTTAGAAAAAAAATTCATGCGTCGCAATCTTCAACAAACCGTACCCACAGGACAACGGTTCATGGACACTGTCTTCATAAGCAACTGCATTTTTGTTGGTCAATATTTGCGATCAATAAACCATCATTGCTTCCATGCTTTCACTTTTTTTTTTTTTTTTTTTTTGTCAACACAGGGTGTCGCCGATCAATCCTTACGGGGTTCGACTAATCCCCTGCGGCCGCGGAGAAGAGGCCCCACTCTACACCGAACACGTTAACAATGGGACTCGAATCCTGAATAAACCAGGAAGGTCGCCATACCCTAAGGAGGGGGAACGGACCGTTCAAGCTATTCCGTGGAGGCAGAAGACCAGCCACGTAAGGTGGCAAATTTATGAGAGGCAGGGGTTGAACCCCTGACCTCCAGCATCACTCAATAGAGTGATGACCCCTAGACCAAATGGCCAGTGGCATTGCTTCCATGGTTTCACCCTTTATCAGTTTTGGCCACTTTATTAAAGCAGCACAAGTAACAATTAAATAAGGTAGTGTCCTTAGACTTAAAGTCCATAGGAACACCTTATCTGGATGGATATTTCTTATAGATCCCCCTTAGTTTAATTCTCGAAATATTTCAGTTAATTTTAATTTAACTTGTATATAACTTTGACGTATTGACAAAAAAAAAACAATTAAATGATTAGTCAATTGCATGCTAGTAAATAGATCAAATTGTATCCCAGTCAATAGTTTACCGAGGCCAACAATTAAGGAGGCGTTTGGTAAGAGGGTATCGGATTCGGGGAATGGAATGAACCCCATAAATGGTGTTTGGTTTATTGGAATGGGAATTGAAATCTTGGAATAATTTCTAAAAATTTGGTATTTCTCCATTCCCAAGTATTTTGGTGGGTTTTGTCCGATTCCCAAGTTTGATTCCAAAAAACAAATCCAATTACATATTATAATTATACAATGATATAATTAATATTTATATATATTATAATATATACATATATATAATATATTATAATTATAATATTAGCACATTATATAAATATATATTATAATTATTTAGTTAAATATAATTATATTCATATAATATATATTATAAATTTATTAATATTATATAATAATATATTTATAATATATATGTATATTTATAAATGCATATTATATGTGCATATGATTATAATATACACATGTATATAATATTAATAAATTATATTTATATTTATATTTATTATTTTAAATACAATAATATATAATAATTACTGGGTCTGTTTGGATTGTAAGTTATTTGGGATTATTTGGGATATTTTTACTGTAACACTTTTTGTGATGTGATGTATGTGAGATAAAAAGATATTGGGAAGATAAAAATGTGTATTGGAAATTGTAAAGATGATATAAACAAATAAAATTGGGGAAATATGAAGCAATCCAAACAAATCCACTATATCTAATATTAATATGCATTATACTTATATAAAATATGAGTACAATTAATATTTATATATTATATAATTATAATTATGTATTTATTTTATAGCGTTTGTATAATTATAATTAATTACAAACTTATCATAATGATGTTATTGTATTATATAATTATATATTATAATTATTTAGTTAAATATAATTATACTTATATAATATATATTATAAATTTATTAATATTATATAATATTATATTTATAATATATATGTATATTTATAAATGTATATTATATGTGCATATAATTATAATATATACATGTATGTAATATTAATAAGTTATATGATTATAATAATTATTATTTTAAATATAATAATATATAATAATAACTATATTTAAAATGTAATATATATTATATTTATATAAAATATTATTATAATTAATATTTGTATATATTATATAATTATATATTTATATATTTATATTATAACATTTGTATATTTATATTTAATTTTATATATAATATTTAATTTAATTAGTTACAAACTTATAATAATAATATTATTATTTATATGTATTATATAATGTATATTAATTTATGTAATATAATTAATATTATCCATTATACTAATAATTATACATGTTTACTAATAGAAATTATTAATTAGTTAGACTAAATTTACTAATACATTTATACTAATATATTTAATTAGTGAAGATTTCTTATATCCCATTTACAAAGAGTCAATAACTATCATTTACGATGGGGTTTATAATATATTTATTATATTTCATTCCGAAAGAGTCGACAAACCAAACATCAACTATAGTAATGATATACATTCCAAGTACTTGAACCAAACAAATGTATTGGAATGAATGACCTCATTCCAAACCCAAGATATTCGATTCCGAATTCGAATCCAATACCGATGTGCGAACCAAACACCACCTAAGCCTTTCTGAACTGATGTCCCAAGCATTGTAGGTCAGTGTCAGTGCTTGTCTAGCACAAGGATCGAGATGATCATAATGTATATGATTCCAAGAGTAGTATTTAAACAAGCAAATGTAGAATGGAAATGGCACACCTATCGAGATGATCATAATGTATATGATTCCGTGATATTGGACTCAACATTCTTTGGCTGTGTAATATTTAAGGTCTCAATTCTCAATACAAATTAAACAATTTCAATTATTCGAAGTTTCAAGATTTCCTTGTCCTCTTTGGTGCGAACCACATTACTGTACGTACAATCAATCAGATTTTTCCACGCAACCGGCAACGAGAGAAGCCAGCAACGAGAGAAGACGAAGGCTCCAGCAACGAGACAATTCAAGTGAAAAAAAAGCCAAGCAACTTCCACGCAAAAACAATTGAAAAACAATTGCCAACAATCCACTGCCACTGCACGGATTGTTATGGGTCAACAAAAACAAGGAATGTGTACAAAAATGCATAATTCATGTTATTGTTAGCCTTGATATTCATCAATATGGCATACCAAGCACCCATGATATTGGACTTAATAGTCTTGACCATGTAAAGTTTAGAGTCTCAATGATATTACATATTACGTAAAGTAAATAGAAGTTTCAAAATTTCATTGATTATTATTTCCTTCTAAAAAAAAGTTTGATATAATTTGAGAATTGAGATCACAAAAAAAAAAATTTTCTCTGTAATAAAAAAAAATTCAACTACTGGGATTACAAATACCATATGTGACAACTACGGTTTAATTTTTTCCACAACAAAGGCCCCACAGCTTGACTATAATGGCAGTCTACCGTTCATTTTGGCGATTCCTTCCTTATCTCATCGCAGGGAGCATTCCCATCACCATCATCGATATCAGAAAACTTTCATCCTAATTCCAATCCCAAGCAAGAAAAAATGGCTGATGCTGCTCTTAGTGCTACCATTCAGGTTGCATTGCAGACGGTTGTTTCCCTTGCCGGTGACCATGTTAATCTGGTTCGTGAATTCCCAGAGGAGCTGGAGAGATTCAACCAATCTGCTGCTATGATCCGAGGCTTCTTGGCCGGTGCCGAAAAGGACATGCGTAGACCAGGGGTGCAAAATTGGCTCGAGCAGCTGGAAGATGAGGTTTTCAAAGCTGACAATGTGCTGGACGAGCTCAACTATGAAATTCTTCGTCGGAAGGTGAAGTGTCAAAATCAACTCATGAAAAAGAAGGTACTCTTCTGCTTTTCATTCTTTAATAAAATTGGTTTTCGTTGGAGGTTGGGTTCAATGATCAGGAAGATCAACACGAACCTTGAAAGGATCCATGGCCATGCCAGAGGTTTGGGACTGGAATGCAAGGGCCAATCTGAAGAAGCATCTGGAGCCACAGCAAGCCGACAGACCGACTCTAAGATTGTTCGAGGTGATGTCCTAGGAAGAGACGAGGATGAATCAGAAATAGTTAAGAAGTTGTTGACCGAATCTGAAAGTGATAGTATTTCAGTTATTTCCATAACTGGCGCCGCAGGATTAGGAAAAACAACTCTAGCTAAGCCGTTTTCAACACTCCACAGTTTGATAATCATTTTGACAAAAAAATTTGGGTTTTGTGGGCTAAAGAAGTTGAAATCACGGAGCTCTTCAAAATGATTCTAGAATGCGTCAACCAAAAAAGGCTGGAAGTGATAGTAGGCAGGTAATAGTTGAAGGAATTGGAAACTGAACTTTAAGAAAAAAAGATATTTGCTTGCTTCTTGACGATTTGTGGAATCATCAAGAAGGATTGTGAATGACTTTTTCACACTTTGGAGGCACTCAAACCGAAGAAAGGGAGCTGGTGTCTTGTTACTTCTCTCTCCAAGAGTATTGTTCTGTCAGACATCCGGATTCTCCAATTTTTCGTATCCATGACTAAAATGTACGATGATGATGACTGCTGCGTCTATCGTGAAAAATTGGGCAACTGTAGGGGAAGAAGTACCAAAAGAATTGGAAGACATAAGGGAGCGAGTTTTAAGAAGATGTGACGGTCTACCTCTGGCAGCAACGTTAATCGGAGGTTTGTTATCTAAAAAGAGAAAAGAGAATTGGCAATCTATTTTGGAGGAGAGCCTCTTGAATGGAGATCAGGGTGGGATTGAGCAAATACTTAAGGTGAGTTTTGATCATCTGTCACCTGCACCGGTTAAGAAATGTTTTGCATATTGCTCAATTTTTGATCAAGATGCTGAGTTGGAACAAGATCTACTAGTTGAGCTTTGGATGGCTGAAGGCTTTCTTCAACCGGATTCCCAAAATCAAACGATGGAGGGAATGGGATATGAGTATCTGAGAACTTTGCTGCAAACTTCCTTATTGGAAGAAGTAAAAGGGAAGTGGAGAACATGGTATAAAATGCATGATCTTGTGCATGATTTTGCAAAATCAATTTTGAATCGTAACAGCAACAATCAGGACCGTTACCTTGCGGTATACTCACCCAAAAGAATCAATGAAAAAGTATCAGCTTCGCTTCGGACATTATTTTTGAAGGGTGGCATGGCTGATGATATGTTATCAAAGTTCAAATACTTGCATGTCCTAAAATTATTTGGAGAAGATGTCAAAGAGTTGCCGACCTCCATCGGCAAACTAATACATTTGCACTTACTTGACATTTCAGGTTCTTGGATTACAACGTTGCCAGAATCTCTTTGCAAACTTTACCGTTTGCAAACACTGAGAATTGGCAACCTTAAAGAAGGTTTTCCAAAGAAGATGAGCAATTTGATTAGCATGAGACATCTTCACTATTATTATCATGCAGCACGCGAAATCCAGATGCCATCCAGTATTGGACGATGGACTTGTCTTCAAACATTAGAGTTCTTTAACATAGGTCGTCAAGAGGAAGGTCGTGGTATCCAAGAACTTGGGACCTTGCAAGATCTTAAAGGCTCCTTGGAGCTCAGAAATCTTGAATTAGTAAATGGCAAAGATGATGCTGAATTGGCGAACCTATCTAGAAAGCAAAATCTGTATCGGTTGGTATTTGAGTGGGGCAACAGGGATCAGGAAAGTGATAAATGCGATGAAGATGTGTTGGAAGGTCTCCAACCTCACCCAAGTTTAAAAGAGTTACAAATTTTGAATTTCATGGGTGACCATTTTCCACAATGGTTCATGAATTTGACATCACTAGTGGAGTTGCGGGTGGAGGATTGCACAAGATGCAGAGAACTCCCTGCACTAGGACAACTGTCATCCCTCCAACATCTATATCTGCGCAGATTGGAAAACACAACGTGCATTGGGCTTTCATTCTATGGTATTAGTGATGAGCAGGACGGAAGATCAGCAGGTTCAGGCACTACTAGCAGACAAACATTCTTTCCATCCCTTAAAATTCTCTCTCTTGAAAGCATGGAAAGGTTGGAAGAGTGGAAGGACGCACATGAAGTGATGCATGTGTTTCCCGTGCTGGAAAAGTTGTATATAAGGGATTGCCGCCAGCTGACCACCATTCCAACTCCAAGTCGTTTCCCAAGTCTTGATGTATTGGAAATCGAAGAGAATTGCCATGTTTTGCTGGTAGAAGAGGTTTTGAGCAGTATAACCAATCTCTCGTCCCTTCAATTAAGTAGTCATCGTCAACCCAAAGAGTCTCTAAATTTAGTGAAACGACCAGAGAGTAGTTTGAGGATTGATGGCTGTGATAATCTACCCACTGACATGCTCGAGCGACTCTGTCATTTTCCAACTCTTCAAAGTGTAGAATTGTGGGAGTGCCCTAATATAACAACATTAAGAGGAATGAGTTGCGCCGCTTGTCTTAAGACATTGGGGGTCAGAGGTTGTACGCATTTACGGGAGTTGCCAGAAGATCTTTATCAATTTCAAGCTTTAGAGCACTTGGAGATGACGCGTTGCCCGGAAATTGAATCATTTGGATCAAATCCTAATAAAGGACAGAAAAGCCTCCTCAAGTCTCTCGAGGTATTAAATATTTTTTGGTGTCATGGATTAAAAAGATTGCCGGCGGAAATGTTCGAGTCGTGTACGTCTCTCCGAAAGTTGCATTTGTGGGATTGTCCCAATCTGGTCTCCTTTCCCCTTGATTTGTGACGAACCCCTTCTCTCGAGACCTTCTCGTTATGGTCGTGTCCCAAATTGATTACCGAGTTGCCTAGTGGATTTGGCTATCTCACCAGCTTAAGGGAAGTGGATTTGGCTATCTCAGATTACTCTGTATTGGAATTTGATTGGGCTGGATTGGCATCCTCATCGACGCTCCAGCACGTGGTTTTAAGTGGGCTGGATTGGCATCCTCATCGACGCTCCAGCACGAAATCTCTGCCACATCAGCTTCAAGACTTGACTAACATCACATCACTGCATCTAAAACACTTCGGAGAAATCGAAGCCTTACCAGATTGGCTTGGGAACCTTGAATCTCTTGAAGAACTAATTCTGTGGGATTGCCAAATGCTTAAATATTTGCCCTCCATGGCTGCCATGGAACGCCTCAAATTGAGACGTCTGGAAATTGATGATTGTCCTCTATTAACCAAAAGATGCACTCCTCAAAGCGGCTCCGAGTGGACCAAGATCTCTAATATTCGTTACCAGCCATATCTCTGAGCCATCCATTCGTTGCTGTTCTTCACCATCTTATTCTATCCATATTTGTCCCTCACTCTTTTTCTCTATAACTCTCTGTTTCTCTATTTATAAACTGGTGAAGATTACTTTCTCTTTCAATTTATGAACTAATTCTTGTCATTAACAAAGTAGAGTTACGAGCAAATTGAAAGACAATAAAAATTGTGGTTTTCATCTACTTTTCTAACCCATCGAAAAGATTAATAAGAAAATTGTGGTAAAATTCACTAATATATATGAACTTGGTACTGACTATTTGTCCAGAAAATTCACATTTTTTTTACACCGATGTTTTCCAAACAACATTAAAACCAATAAAATAGCAATTTTGAGAGAACATTACAATTTTTGTTTTTATCGCTGGCATTTAATGGATGGATATGTTCTTAATCTTCACTGTTATATCCTCTGTAGGGACTTTACGTTATGATTGCCAAAAAATTAGCTCAATGTCGATCAAGTTAAAATTGTTTGCAGAGGAACTAGGGTGCTGTCAAAACTACAAATGTATATCGTCTTTCAAAATTTTTAAAGCTCAGAAACTATATCTAGCAACTTTTCTGTTTTGTGAATTAGATTGATGATATTATGGCCTCGCAGGCAACAAGTGTCAGTGATGCAGAAAGCAGTCATTGTGCCGAAACATTATGGAAGGCTCAAAAGTGTGCTCAAGGCAGAGTCAGCCTGGAACCTTTAAAGCATCTTGTTGCACTGTTCACATTCTGCAACTGCAACATGAGGCTGTGGTTTCCAATCTTTTTTGAAGAAAGATGAGGAGGTATGTGGTTTGGAAAAGTCTCCACCCAACTTACAAGAAGTACAAGTGAATTGGTCCAAGTTTGCAAGTATGTTTGAGTCATGTAATTGTGCCTAAATGCAGGGTGATATCTGCACTAGTATGTGTTCTTTATGGCTTAATCAATGGAATTTAGCTTAATTTTGGCTCTTTAGGATTTTGAGTGATAAATTGTTGCACTGGTTACCAGACCAAACCTTTCTGTGGCTCATGTTTCTACTTAATGCCATAACTGAAGTAGCACTGTGATGTAATATTGTGATGTTTTTTTCCAGAATTTTTTTAGGAAGCAGAAATCAATGCTTTTTGGACAAAGAACACCAAGGTTCCCGTGTTGTTCTTATGAGAAAGTCAGGGGGAGAAGTTATTTTCACTTATCAGTCAGGTTTTGAAGATGGAAGGTAGTTATGAAGTTATCTGTGATTTTTCCCACCAGAATGCCATATATTTCTCGGACTGTGGAAATGTAGGTGAAAAATGTTGACTGCATGTATTTTGGGCTGTTTCAATGGTTTTTCTTTTTTTTTTTTATCTGTTTTTTGGAAGTGTTTAACAAAATAACTCAAATACTGAACCTTTTCTCCTTGTAGTGTGTTGAAAACAGAGTGGCTTGTGCCAGGCTTGTAGGAAGTAGTATGGATGGAGAAGAATTTAGAGGGGAGCATAGTAACTGGTACTGGAGAGCTATCAAGGTACAAGACTTGCTTGAAGAAAACTGGACTTACTGATACTTTAGTTACAGAGGTGAGAAGATTTGATGCAAAGAAGTTAGACATTGTAGATAGCATTGATGATCATTTGGACAACATAAAAGAAGCATGTGACTGCAGTGCCAGTCATTCATTTGGGTGGAAACATTTAAAAGATTTGGTGCTGCAATTGTAGATGCAAGAATTCCTATGTCCTCATCCAAGGTTCCCGCTAGATCTTGCAAGGCCTTTGTCAATTGGACAACAGCTTATACCTTTCCACTCAAGAACAAGAGAGACTCAAGGTACAACTGTGCTAATAGCTAGTCATTCCAGGTATCAGGCTCAGCGTTGAATTTTTTTTAGTAAAATAACATATCCTAAGTACTGTCGTGGTTGTTAACTAACTTAATTATTTTTACATGTCTACTTCAAGATAAATAGTCACAATCCAAAAATTTGCAGTTTGAATGATCAATAAACAGGTTTTGTTATTGTGGCATTCCAGCTTATGTTGTAACATGTAGGAAGCAGTGGTTTCCAAGCAAAAATGTATGGATGGTGATGTGGTAGAAATTGTTCTCTCAAGGAGTGATGATCATTCTTCTAGAAAGCAATATGCGACGGAGTAAATGAACAGGTATGTGGTCTCAGTGGATTAAAAGTCTACTATGTTTGTGTTGCAGTTGCCATAACTTCAAATCAATCACATTTAAAAACTGAGCTTTGCACTTTGTGTTTTTGATGGCTTAATTGATACGACTTTGCTTAATTTTTGCTCTTTAGGAATTTTTGTAATACATTCTTCATAAGTTTTGAAGGTTTGACATGGCTAATTTTACCCTTAATATTACTGTAATGTAACATGGTGATTTTTTTTTCCTGAATCCGTTTGGGAAGCAGACTTCATCTTGTTGGAAAAAGAACCACATGGCTCCCTGTTGTTTTTGTGAGAATGTCAAAGGGAAGAAATTATTTGTCACTGACCAGGCAGGTTTCGCAAATGAAGATGGTTACCGATTACAGTTATTTTGCTCATTAAATTGCATTAGCCTTGATGGAGACTTCTCAAACACCAAATAGAAAAACTGAAAGTGTTATGTCCTGTAGTGCTCGGAATGCAGAAATGAAGGCGATGATTTGGCTATATCTGAGATTTGTGAAGACCAATGAAGGTGGTAAATCAATAGTAAATGTTACACAAGAAAGTTCTTCAAGGTGGTTCATTCCATTTCATAGAGGTACTGTGCGACAAGTCTCTTCTTCTAAGGTTAGATAAGCATATTTCAGCATAGCCATTGAAATGAAGTTGACAGTTAAGTCTAACAAATTCAAGGAAGAAGGAAACTACTTACCAACAATTATAGAATAGTGACATTCTTTTGCTGCTTCCTTCTGAAAAAGGTTATCCTTTACTGATCCATTTTTGTCCCAAATATCTTATGTAAGGAGTATATTCGCATCTTATGTAGTGACCTTTTACCTCGGCCAATGGTAATAAGCATTATCTTTTTGGATTAATTACACTTGCATCCTCGAACGTAAGTCCTTGTGACACTTTTATACCTCTAGTAGTCAATTTTTTGCCGGTATTAAGATGAAGTTATATATTTTATGATCAAAATATTCATATCTAATTCTTAAACACACCTAATAATTGTAACATAATAAATATTTATTTTTTTAATAGTTGTAAAATGCATCTAAACACAATTATACTATGCATTTCGATCTTTAAGCACTAAAATAAATTGGATATTTCACAAAAAGGAAGTCTAAGCAACTTAATGTATTTATCTCAATGTCTATAGCAATATTTATTTTAAATGAAATAAAATTAATTAATGCATTCAGAATGAGAATCCTATTAAGAATTCTATTTCCAACATCAGATATTGACTTCTGTTATTAATGGTTCCTTTTGAAATTAGTTACTTTTCTACTTCTTGTAGTGATAATAATTCTTTTGAAATTTAAAACGTCTTATAAGAAATAAGAATTGATATACATCTAAAAAAAAAGGAGCAAGTCACATAGGAAATTACTTGCCGTCGCGTTAAGCCACATAGGTAAGAGAAAACATGAAGGGATAAGAATGAGAATACGACTTTATTATATATGTATATATATATATATATATATATATATATGATTTGTATTAAGTTTAAACAAAAGAATAAAAATTATCATAAAATTGAGCCTTAGCAAATTCCTACATCATATAAATAAAAAAACAAACATAAGTTTCAATTATAAGAGATGAATCTAACATGAAATACAAAAATTGGGTGACAATTTTTAACAAAATGGAAACAAGCCTATATATAAAAAATTAAAAGATTATTTGTCTAACTGTCAATAATTGTAATGGAGATTGATATTATTATTTAAAAACCTTTTCATTATATCTCTAATCTAATTAATATTGAAATGAACAACAAAGCTAACTTTGTGGTAGTAAGAATTAATTACTCAATTTTGAATTGGGCTACAATTTTGGTAATGAACCTCAATTATTTAAAATTTGAGTGTACATAGATGATCTGATGAATTCAATGTTTTTCTATTGCATATGATGATTAGATTTGTGGACCTGTTTTTACAATAATTGGTTAAAAAATAACTTACCTAATTAATAAATCTAATCCTTATATATCTGGCACATTGCTAGACCTATTTGATCTAAAATAATATAACTATTTAGTATCATATGATAATTTTTCAGTAAAAGCTAGTCCTTGTACAATCTAGATTATCTTATTAGAGATAAAATAAAGGATTGATTTTGACTAAAAATTGCCTAAAAATAAAAATTATTTGATGCAAACTTTTATAGCAAGTAGATCATTTAGAAGCTTTTTAACTTTCTATATAAACATGTATTATTCCTGCAAATTCTATATCTCGAACATTGTCGGAGGTTTACATTCTTGTCTCTTCTATATCTCTATTTTTATCTAACATGTATTGTATAGATTTAGATATAATTCTTTCCCTCCTCCTGATTACAGACTATATATTTCCTACTATAAACAATAGCTTTATCTTGATGCTATTCAAGGATGATCAATTTCATTTCTATTATATCAAAATTTTTGAATTTTTTTTTCATGTGAAGTGTTCTTACTCTTTTTTTTTTAAGGAAAATATAAATTTATGCAGGAAAAGAGAAATATAAGGGCTTGAGAGATAATTTTGCGTGGAACACTTGCCAGTTATTATTGACTAGGACTATTACTTAATATAAGGCCGATTTGTTATTAAAACCCAAATTAAGTAGGTTTCTTGGGTTACAAGTCACTCAAATTATAGAAGGATTCTGGAGGATTTCTTGAATACCAAGTCTACATATTTTTGGCTATAAATAGAACATAGATTGAAATCCCTAAATTTACTTTCTGACCTCTAGATTGGATATAATATTTGCTTTCTGACCTATAGGGTTTACTTTAAGGTAAGACTTATTTTGAATTTAATTTCAAGTAGAAAAACCTAAACAAAAATAAAATATTTGGAGTATAATGTGAAGTCAAGTATAAAAGCAAGCAGCAGATCAGGCAATTCTTTTTTAAGACAAGAAATTCTTTTGGAGCGCTTATAGGTCCCTTTTTTCTAAAGGATATAAAAACAAGAAGAAATAGTTCTTTTCTCCAAAAAGAATTTCATTGTCCGATATTCCTTCTTATGGGTACGGTAATGGGTAGGTTCTTCCTTATAAAGTGATGATTGAGATTTTTTACAGTTGAACTATGTTTGTAAACTCCAAAAAACTACATTGCAATAAAATTAGTAATCTCTAAGTTAATCATTTTAACTTAAATTCATGAACAAGTTATCAACCGACATGCAAAGCACGTATTTTCTAGTATATCTAAAAATGAAAAGATCATATATCTAACTATTGTTAATCGTGAAGGAGATTAATATAAGTCTTGAGGAATTGTTTTGTTGTTATATCTCTTCTAATTAATTTTAAAATGAAACAGCAAAATCTGACTTTGGCATACAAAATTTAATTACTCGATTATGAGTTGGTGAACAATTACGGTAATGGACCTCAAACGTTTGAAATTTTGAGTATACGTAGATGGACAATCCGATTACTAAGATGACCAGTTTTAGTATTTTGGCATTGCATACAATGATTACTTTTGTTGGCCAATTTTTGCAATAACTAATTTGGAAATCCCTTACCCAACAAACAAATCTAATTCCTACGGTACTTTGCACATTGCTAGACTTAATTGATGTAAAAGACGGTGCATAGACTATTCAATATTATAGGAAAAATTTCTGGGCAGAAGTTTGTCTTTGCAAAGGACAACTCCAATTTTCTTTTTATTTTTTCTATTCTATGCATTTTTTATATCAATAAAATTAGCAAATACTTCACAACAAAATAATTTTCATCCTACCAGTTATTGCATTCATTTATAGATGTGAAGTCGGATTCTCAAACAACAAACCGACAAGTAAAGCCTGATTAAGCTCCGTCAGAAAACTATTGATGAATAGTTTAGACATACTGTGTTTTTAGAAAAAAAATTCATGCGTCGCAATCTTCAACAAACCGTACCCACAGGACAACGGTTCATGGACACTGTCTTCATAAGCAACTGCATTTTTGTTGGTCAATATTTGCGATCAATAAACCATCATTGCTTCCATGCTTTCACTTTTTTTTTTTTTTTTTTTTTTGTCAACACAGGGGTGTCCGGATCAATCCTTACGGGGTTCGACTAATCCCCTGCGGCCCGGGAGAAGAGGCCCCACTCTACACCGAACACGTTAACAATGGGACTCGAATCCTGAATAAACCAGGAAGGTCGCCATACCCTAAGGAGGGGGAACGGACCGTTCAAGCTATTCCGTGGAGGCAGAAGACCAGCCACGTAAGGTGGCAAATTTATGAGAGGCAGGGGTTGAACCCCTGACCTCCAGCATCACTCAATAGAGTGATGACCCCTAGACCAAATGGCCAGTGGCATTGCTTCCATGGTTTCACCCTTTATCAGTTTTGGCCACTTTATTAAAGCAGCACAAGTAACAATTAAATAAGGTAGTGTCCTTAGACTTAAAGTCCATAGGAACACCTTATCTGGATGGATATTTCTTATAGATCCCCCTTAGTTTAATTCTCGAAATATTTCAGTTAATTTTAATTTAACTTGTATATAACTTTGACGTATTGACAAAAAAAAAACAATTAAATGATTAGTCAATTGCATGCTAGTAAATAGATCAAATTGTATCCCAGTCAATAGTTTACCGAGGCCAACAATTAAGGAGGCGTTTGGTAAGAGGGTATCGGATTCGGGGAATGGAATGAACCCCATAAATGGTGTTTGGTTTATTGGAATGGGAATTGAAATCTTGGAATAATTTCTAAAAATTTGGTATTTCTCCATTCCCAAGTATTTTGGTGGGTTTTGTCCGATTCCCAAGTTTGATTCCAAAAAACAAATCCAATTACATATTATAATTATACAATGATATAATTAATATTTATATATATTATAATATATACATATATATAATATATTATAATATATAATATAGCACATTATTAAATATATATTATAATTATTTAGTTAATATAAATTATATTATAATATATATTATATATATATTTTATTAATATTATATGATTATAATATATTATATATATATGTATATTTATAAATGCATATTATATGTGCATATGATTATAAAATATAATACTATCATGTAATAATATTAATAAATTATATTTATATTTATATTTATTATTTTAAATACAATAATATATAATAATTACTGGGTCTGTTTGGATTGTAAGTTATTTGGGATTATTTGGGATATTTTTACTGTAACACTTTTTGTGATGTGATGTATGTGAGATAAAAAGATATTGGGAAGATAAAAATGTGTATTGGAAATTGTAAAGATGATATAAACAAATAAAATTGGGGAAATATGAAGCAATCCAAACAAATCCACTATATCTAATATTAATATGCATTATACTTATATAAAATATGAGTACAATTAATATTTATATATTATATAATTATAATTATGTATTTATTTTATAGCGTTTGTATAATTATAATTAATTACAAACTTATCATAATGATGTTATTGTATTATATAATTATATATTATAATTATTTAGTTAAATATAATTATACTTATATAATATATATTATAAATTTATTAATATTATATAATATTATATTTATAATATATATGTATATTTATAAATGTATATTATATGTGCATATAATTATAATATATACATGTATGTAATATTAATAAGTTATATGATTATAATAATTATTATTTTAAATATAATAATATATAATAATAACTATATTTAAAATGTAATATATATTATATTTATATAAAATATTATTATAATTAATATTTGTATATATTATATAATTATATATTTATATATTTATATTATAACATTTGTATATTTATATTTAATTTTATATATAATATTTAATTTAATTAGTTACAAACTTATAATAATAATATTATTATTTATATGTATTATATAATGTATATTAATTTATGTAATATAATTAATATTATCCATTATACTAATAATTATACATGTTTACTAATAGAAATTATTAATTAGTTAGACTAAATTTACTAATACATTTATACTAATATATTTAATTAGTGAAGATTTCTTATATCCCATTTACAAAGAGTCAATAACTATCATTTACGATGGGGTTTATAATATATTTATTATATTTCATTCCGAAAGAGTCGACAAACCAAACATCAACTATAGTAATGATATACATTCCAAGTACTTGAACCAAACAAATGTATTGGAATGAATGACCTCATTCCAAACCCAAGATATTCGATTCCGAATTCGAATCCAATACCGATGTGCGAACCAAACACCACCTAAGCCTTTCTGAACTGATGTCCCAAGCATTGTAGGTCAGTGTCAGTGCTTGTCTAGCACAAGGATCGAGATGATCATAATGTATATGATTCCAAGAGTAGTATTTAAACAAGCAAATGTAGAATGGAAATGGCACACCTATCGAGATGATCATAATGTATATGATTCCGTGATATTGGACTCAACATTCTTTGGCTGTGTAATATTTAAGGTCTCAATTCTCAATACAAATTAAACAATTTCAATTATTCGAAGTTTCAAGATTTCCTTGTCCTCTTTGGTGCGAACCACATTACTGTACGTACAATCAATCAGATTTTTCCACGCAACCGGCAACGAGAGAAGCCAGCAACGAGAGAAGACGAAGGCTCCAGCAACGAGACAATTCAAGTGAAAAAAAAGCCAAGCAACTTCCACGCAAAAACAATTGAAAAACAATTGCCAACAATCCACTGCCACTGCACGGATTGTTATGGTCAACAAAAACAAGGAATGTGTACAAAAATGCATAATTCATGTTATTGTTAGCCTTGATATTCATCAATATGGCATACCAAGCACCCATGATATTGGACTTAATAGTCTTGACCATGTAAAGTTTAGAGTCTCAATGATATTACATATTACGTAAAGTAAATAGAAGTTTCAAAATTTCATTGATTATTATTTCCTTCTAAAAAAAAGTTTGATATAATTTGAGAATTGAGATCACAAAAAAAAAATTTTCTCTGTAATAAAAAAAAATTCAACTACTGGGATTACAAATACCATATGTGACAACTACGGTTTAATTTTTTCCACAACAAAGGCCCCACAGCTTGACTATAATGGCAGTCTACCGTTCATTTTGGCGATTCCTTCCTTATCTCATCGCAGGGAGCATTCCCATCACCATCATCGATATCAGAAAACTTTCATCCTAATTCCAATCCCAAGCAAGAAAAAATGGCTGATGCTGCTCTTAGTGCTACCATTCAGGTTGCATTGCAGACGGTTGTTTCCCTTGCCGGTGACCATGTTAATCTGGTTCGTGAATTCCCAGAGGAGCTGGAGAGATTCAACCAATCTGCTGCTATGATCCGAGGCTTCTTGGCCGGTGCCGAAAAGGACATGCGTAGACCAGGGGTGCAAAATTGGCTCGAGCAGCTGGAAGATGAGGTTTTCAAAGCTGACAATGTGCTGGACGAGCTCAACTATGAAATTCTTCGTCGGAAGGTGAAGTGTCAAAATCAACTCATGAAAAAGAAGGTACTCTTCTGCTTTTCATTCTTTAATAAAATTGGTTTTCGTTGGAGGTTGGGTTCAATGATCAGGAAGATCAACACGAACCTTGAAAGGATCCATGGCCATGCCAGAGGTTTGGGACTGGAATGCAAGGGCCAATCTGAAGAAGCATCTGGAGCCACAGCAAGCCGACAGACCGACTCTAAGATTGTTCGAGGTGATGTCCTAGGAAGAGACGAGGATGAATCAGAAATAGTTAAGAAGTTGTTGACCGAATCTGAAAGTGATAGTATTTCAGTTATTTCCATAACTGGCCCGCCAGGATTAGGAAAAAAACTCTAGCTAAAGCCGTTTTCAACACTCCACAGTTTGATAATCATTTTGACAAAAAAATTTGGGTTTGTGTGGCTAAAGAAGTTGAAATCACGGAGCTCTTCAAAATGATTCTAGAATCGTCAACCAAAAAAAAGGCTGAAGTGGATAGTAGGCAGGTAATAGTTGAAGGAATTGAAACTGAACTTAAGGAAAAAAGATATTTGCTTGTTCTTGACGATTTGTGGAATCATCAAGAAGGATTGTTGAATGACTTTTTCACCACTTTGGAGGCACTCAAACCGAAGAAAGGGAGCTGGTGTCTTGTTACTTCTCGTCTCCAAGAAGTGGCAATTGTTCTGTCAAGACATCGGCGGATCAATTTTACTCGTCATGACCTAAGAAAGCTGTACGATGATGACTGCTGGTCTATCGTGAAAAATTGGGCAACTGTAGGGGAAGAAGTACCAAAAGAATTGGAAGACATAAGGGAGCGAGTTTTAAGAAGATGTGACGGTCTACCTCTGGCAGCAACGTTAATCGGAGGTTTGTTATCTAAAAAGAGAAAAGAGAATTGGCAATCTATTTTGGAGGAGAGCCTCTTGAATGGAGATCAGGGTGGGATTGAGCAAATACTTAAGGTGAGTTTTGATCATCTGTCACCTGCACCGGTTAAGAAATGTTTTGCATATTGCTCAATTTTTGATCAAGATGCTGAGTTGGAACAAGATCTACTAGTTGAGCTTTGGATGGCTGAAGGCTTTCTTCAACCGGATTCCCAAAATCAAACGATGGAGGGAATGGGATATGAGTATCTGAGAACTTTGCTGCAAACTTCCTTATTGGAAGAAGTAAAAGGGAAGTGGAGAACATGGTATAAAATGCATGATCTTGTGCATGATTTTGCAAAATCAATTTTGAATCGTAACAGCAACAATCAGGACCGTTACCTTGCGGTATACTCACCCAAAAGAATCAATGAAAAAGTATCAGCTTCGCTTCGGACATTATTTTTGAAGGGTGGCATGGCTGATGATATGTTATCAAAGTTCAAATACTTGCATGTCCTAAAATTATTTGGAGAAGATGTCAAAGAGTTGCCGACCTCCATCGGCAAACTAATACATTTGCACTTACTTGACATTTCAGGTTCTTGGATTACAACGTTGCCAGAATCTCTTTGCAAACTTTACCGTTTGCAAACACTGAGAATTGGCAACCTTAAAGAAGGTTTTCCAAAGAAGATGAGCAATTTGATTAGCATGAGACATCTTCACTATTATTATCATGCAGCACGCGAAATCCAGATGCCATCCAGTATTGGACGATGGACTTGTCTTCAAACATTAGAGTTCTTTAACATAGGTCGTCAAGAGGAAGGTCGTGGTATCCAAGAACTTGGGACCTTGCAAGATCTTAAAGGCTCCTTGGAGCTCAGAAATCTTGAATTAGTAAATGGCAAAGATGATGCTGAATTGGCGAACCTATCTAGAAAGCAAAATCTGTATCGGTTGGTATTTGAGTGGGGCAACAGGGATCAGGAAAGTGATAAATGCGATGAAGATGTGTTGGAAGGTCTCCAACCTCACCCAAGTTTAAAAGAGTTACAAATTTTGAATTTCATGGGTGACCATTTTCCACAATGGTTCATGAATTTGACATCACTAGTGGAGTTGCGGGTGGAGGATTGCACAAGATGCAGAGAACTCCCTGCACTAGGACAACTGTCATCCCTCCAACATCTATATCTGCGCAGATTGGAAAACACAACGTGCATTGGGCTTTCATTCTATGGTATTAGTGATGAGCAGGACGGAAGATCAGCAGGTTCAGGCACTACTAGCAGACAAACATTCTTTCCATCCCTTAAAATTCTCTCTCTTGAAAGCATGGAAAGGTTGGAAGAGTGGAAGGACGCACATGAAGTGATGCATGTGTTTCCCGTGCTGGAAAAGTTGTATATAAGGGATTGCCGCCAGCTGACCACCATTCCAACTCCAAGTCGTTTCCCAAGTCTTGATGTATTGGAAATCGAAGAGAATTGCCATGTTTTGCTGGTAGAAGAGGTTTTGAGCAGTATAACCAATCTCTCGTCCCTTCAATTAAGTAGTCATCGTCAACCCAAAGAGTCTCTAAATTTAGTGAAACGACCAGAGAGTAGTTTGAGGATTGATGGCTGTGATAATCTACCCACTGACATGCTCGAGCGACTCTGTCATTTTCCAACTCTTCAAAGTGTAGAATTGTGGGAGTGCCCTAATATAACAACATTAAGAGGAATGAGTTGCGCCGCTTGTCTTAAGACATTGGGGGTCAGAGGTTGTACGCATTTACGGGAGTTGCCAGAAGATCTTTATCAATTTCAAGCTTTAGAGCACTTGGAGATGACGCGTTGCCCGGAAATTGAATCATTTGGATCAAATCCTAATAAAGGACAGAAAAGCCTCCTCAAGTCTCTCGAGGTATTAAATATTTTTTGGTGTCATGGATTAAAAAGATTGCCGGCGGAAATGTTCGAGTCGTGTACGTCTCTCCGAAAGTTGCATTTGTGGGATTGTCCCAATCTGGTCTCCTTTCCCCTTGATTTGTGACGAACCCCTTCTCTCGAGACCTTCTCGTTATGGTCGTGTCCCAAATTGATTACCGAGTTGCCTAGTGGATTTGGCTATCTCACCAGCTTAAGGGAAGTGGATTTGGCTATCTCAGATTACTCTGTATTGGAATTTGATTGGGCTGGATTGGCATCCTCATCGACGCTCCAGCACGTGGTTTTAAGTGGGCTGGATTGGCATCCTCATCGACGCTCCAGCACGAAATCTCTGCCACATCAGCTTCAAGACTTGACTAACATCACATCACTGCATCTAAAACACTTCGGAGAAATCGAAGCCTTACCAGATTGGCTTGGGAACCTTGAATCTCTTGAAGAACTAATTCTGTGGGATTGCCAAATGCTTAAATATTTGCCCTCCATGGCTGCCATGGAACGCCTCAAATTGAGACGTCTGGAAATTGATGATTGTCCTCTATTAACCAAAAGATGCACTCCTCAAAGCGGCTCCGAGTGGACCAAGATCTCTAATATTCGTTACCAGCCATATCTCTGAGCCATCCATTCGTTGCTGTTCTTCACCATCTTATTCTATCCATATTTGTCCCTCACTCTTTTTCTCTATAACTCTCTGTTTCTCTATTTATAAACTGGTGAAGATTACTTTCTCTTTCAATTTATGAACTAATTCTTGTCATTAACAAAGTAGAGTTACGAGCAAATTGAAAGACAATAAAAATTGTGGTTTTCATCTACTTTTCTAACCCATCGAAAAGATTAATAAGAAAATTGTGGTAAAATTCACTAATATATATGAACTTGGTACTGACTATTTGTCCAGAAAATTCACATTTTTTTTACACGATGTTTTCCAAACAACATTAAAACCAATAAAATAGCAATTTTGAGAGAACATTACAATTTTTGTTTTTATCGCTGGCATTTAATGGATGGATATGTTCTTAATCTTCACTGTTATATCCTCTGTAGGGACTTTACGTTATGATTGCCAAAAAATTAGCTCAATGTCGATCAAGTTAAAATTGTTTGCAGAGGAACTAGGGTGCTGTCAAAACTACAAATGTATATCGTCTTTCAAAATTTTTAAAGCTCAGAAACTATATCTAGCAACTTTTCTGTTTTGTGAATTAGATTGATGATATTATGGCCTCGCAGGCAACAAGTGTCAGTGATGCAGAAAGCAGTCATTGTGCCGAAACATTATGGAAGGCTCAAAAGTGTGCTCAAGGCAGAGTCAGCCTGGAACCTTTAAAGCATCTTGTTGCACTGTTCACATTCTGCAACTGCAACATGAGGCTGTGGTTTCCAATCTTTTTTGAAGAAAGATGAGGAGGTATGTGGTTTGGAAAAGTCTCCACCCAACTTACAAGAAGTACAAGTGAATTGGTCCAAGTTTGCAAGTATGTTTGAGTCATGTAATTGTGCCTAAATGCAGGGTGATATCTGCACTAGTATGTGTTCTTTATGGCTTAATCAATGGAATTTAGCTTAATTTTGGCTCTTTAGGATTTTGAGTGATAAATTGTTGCACTGGTTACCAGACCAAACCTTTCTGTGGCTCATGTTTCTACTTAATGCCATAACTGAAGTAGCACTGTGATGTAATATTGTGATGTTTTTTTCCAGAATTTTTTTAGGAAGCAGAAATCAATGCTTTTTGGACAAAGAACACCAAGGTTCCCGTGTTGTTCTTATGAGAAAGTCAGGGGGAGAAGTTATTTTCACTTATCAGTCAGGTTTTGAAGATGGAAGGTAGTTATGAAGTTATCTGTGATTTTTCCCACCAGAATGCCATATATTTCTCGGACTGTGGAAATGTAGGTGAAAAATGTTGACTGCATGTATTTTGGGCTGTTTCAATGGTTTTTCTTTTTTTTTTTATCTGTTTTTTGGAAGTGTTTAACAAAATAACTCAAATACTGAACCTTTTCTCCTTGTAGTGTGTTGAAAACAGAGTGGCTTGTGCCAGGCTTGTAGGAAGTAGTATGGATGGAGAAGAATTTAGAGGGGAGCATAGTAACTGGTACTGGAGAGCTATCAAGGTACAAGACTTGCTTGAAGAAAACTGGACTTACTGATACTTTAGTTACAGAGGTGAGAAGATTTGATGCAAAGAAGTTAGACATTGTAGATAGCATTGATGATCATTTGGACAACATAAAAGAAGCATGTGACTGCAGTGCCAGTCATTCATTTGGGTGGAAACATTTAAAAGATTTGGTGCTGCAATTGTAGATGCAAGAATTCCTATGTCCTCATCCAAGGTTCCCGCTAGATCTTGCAAGGCCTTTGTCAATTGGACAACAGCTTATACCTTTCCACTCAAGAACAAGAGAGACTCAAGGTACAACTGTGCTAATAGCTAGTCATTCCAGGTATCAGGCTCAGCGTTGAATTTTTTTTAGTAAAATAACATATCCTAAGTACTGTCGTGGTTGTTAACTAACTTAATTATTTTTACATGTCTACTTCAAGATAAATAGTCACAATCCAAAAATTTGCAGTTTGAATGATCAATAAACAGGTTTTGTTATTGTGGCATTCCAGCTTATGTTGTAACATGTAGGAAGCAGTGGTTTCCAAGCAAAAATGTATGGATGGTGATGTGGTAGAAATTGTTCTCTCAAGGAGTGATGATCATTCTTCTAGAAAGCAATATGCGACGGAGTAAATGAACAGGTATGTGGTCTCAGTGGATTAAAAGTCTACTATGTTTGTGTTGCAGTTGCCATAACTTCAAATCAATCACATTTAAAAACTGAGCTTTGCACTTTGTGTTTTTGATGGCTTAATTGATACGACTTTGCTTAATTTTTGCTCTTTAGGAATTTTTGTAATACATTCTTCATAAGTTTTGAAGGTTTGACATGGCTAATTTTACCCTTAATATTACTGTAATGTAACATGGTGATTTTTTTTCCTGAATCCGTTTGGGAAGCAGACTTCATCTTGTTGGAAAAAGAACCACATGGCTCCCTGTTGTTTTTGTGAGAATGTCAAAGGGAAGAAATTATTTGTCACTGACCAGGCAGGTTTCGCAAATGAAGATGGTTACCGATTACAGTTATTTTGCTCATTAAATTGCATTAGCCTTGATGGAGACTTCTCAAACACCAAATAGAAAAACTGAAAGTGTTATGTCCTGTAGTGCTCGGAATGCAGAAATGAAGGCGATGATTTGGCTATATCTGAGATTTGTGAAGACCAATGAAGGTGGTAAATCAATAGTAAATGTTACACAAGAAAGTTCTTCAAGGTGGTTCATTCCATTTCATAGAGGTACTGTGCGACAAGTCTCTTCTTCTAAGGTTAGATAAGCATATTTCAGCATAGCCATTGAAATGAAGTTGACAGTTAAGTCTAACAAATTCAAGGAAGAAGGAAACTACTTACCAACAATTATAGAATAGTGACATTCTTTTGCTGCTTCCTTCTGAAAAAGGTTATCCTTTACTGATCCATTTTTGTCCCAAATATCTTATGTAAGGAGTATATTCGCATCTTATGTAGTGACCTTTTACCTCGGCCAATGGTAATAAGCATTATCTTTTTGGATTAATTACACTTGCATCCTCGAACGTAAGTCCTTGTGACACTTTTATACCTCTAGTAGTCAATTTTTTGCCGGTATTAAGATGAAGTTATATATTTTATGATCAAAATATTCATATCTAATTCTTAAACACACCTAATAATTGTAACATAATAAATATTTATTTTTTTAATAGTTGTAAAATGCATCTAAACACAATTATACTATGCATTTCAATCTTTAAGCACTAAAATAAATTGGATATTTCACAAAAAGGAAGTCTAAGCAACTTAATGTATTTATCTCAATGTCTATAGCAATATTTATTTTAAATGAAATAAAATTAATTAATGCATTCAGAATGAGAATCCTATTAAGAATTCTATTTCCAACATCAGATATTGACTTCTGTTATTAATGGTTCCTTTTGAAATTAGTTACTTTTCTACTTCTTGTAGTGATAATAATTCTTTTGAAATTTAAAACGTCTTATAAGAAATAAGAATTGATATACATCTAAAAAAAAAGGAGCAAGTCACATAGGAAATTACTTGCCGTCGCGTTAAGCCACATAGGTAAGAGAAAACATGAAGGGATAAGAATGAGAATACGACTTTATTATATATGTATATATATATATATATATATATATATATGATTTGTATTAAGTTTAAACAAAAGAATAAAAATTATCATAAAATTGAGCCTTAGCAAATTCCTACATCATATAAATAAAAAAACAAACATAAGTTTCAATTATAAGAGATGAATCTAACATGAAATACAAAAATTGGGTGACAATTTTTAACAAAATGGAAACAAGCCTATATATAAAAAATTAAAAGATTATTTGTCTAACTGTCAATAATTGTAATGGAGATTGATATTATTATTTAAAAACCTTTTCATTATATCTCTAATCTAATTAATATTGAAATGAACAACAAAGCTAACTTTGTGGTAGTAAGAATTAATTACTCAATTTTGAATTGGGCTACAATTTTGGTAATGAACCTCAATTATTTAAAATTTGAGTGTACATAGATGATCTGATGAATTCAATGTTTTTCTATTGCATATGATGATTAGATTTGTGGACCTGTTTTTACAATAATTGGTTAAAAAATAACTTACCTAATTAATAAATCTAATCCTTATATATCTGGCACATTGCTAGACCTATTTGATCTAAAATAATATAACTATTTAGTATCATATGATAATTTTTCAGTAAAAGCTAGTCCTTGTACAATCTAGATTATCTTATTAGAGATAAAATAAAGGATTGATTTTGACTAAAAATTGCCTAAAAATAAAAATTATTTGATGCAAACTTTTATAGCAAGTAGATCATTTAGAAGCTTTTTAACTTTCTATATAAACATGTATTATTCCTGCAAATTCTATATCTCGAACATTGTCGGAGGTTTACATTCTTGTCTCTTCTATATCTCTATTTTTATCTAACATGTATTGTATAGATTTAGATATAATTCTTTCCCTCCTCCTGATTACAGACTATATATTTCCTACTATAAACAATAGCTTTATCTTGATGCTATTCAAGGATGATCAATTTCATTTCTATTATATCAAAATTTTTGAATTTTTTTTTCATGTGAAGTGTTCTTACTCTTTTTTTTTAAGGAAAATATAAATTTATGCAGGAAAAGAGAAATATAAGGGCTTGAGAGATAATTTTGCGTGGAACACTTGCCAGTTATTATTGACTAGGACTATTACTTAATATACCTCTTTAGTGAAATGTTTTGCTGTGTGTCTTGATCATTTCAAATGTCCGTGTTTCATGTATAATTTTTTTATCCCTATGCTAATTGTTCCTCTTCTTGGTTTTCATGACAGGTATATCTTCTCTTGATCATCACAGGTATATCTTCTTGGTTGACATGATTTCCATTTTAAGCGCTTTGAATTGCCTTACTTGTTGATCTAATGAATATGGATACGAAGATATCATATCAATGAAAGCATTCAAAGTGCGAGGATGAAAAGCCAATAACATTAGTAGCTGTTGGATTGTACGAGTGAAAAAAGGCCTTGAATTCATGTTTCATTAATTGTTCTTATACTAAAGTTTTGCTCTAAACTATGGTACTCTATGCTAACATCAGTAAAAAAACTAATAATTTTTTTAAACCCATATATATCTATTTAATTTCACCTAAACAATATGTTTAGACAAAATTAAATAGAGATATATTACATGCTATTTGTACAGTTCAAGTAAACTCAAATAGATATATAAATGAGTTTTAAAAAAAAATGCTATTTCGTATACATGATCAAAAAGGGATGAAAAAATTTATTTTGTAAAATGTGAGGGATGAAAAAAATTCATTTTGTGAAATGTGGGGACGAAAAAATTTATTTTGTGAAATGTAACAGACTATGGATCGGATTATATAAAATTTAATTTGATAATTTTATCCTTAAAAAATGATCACGTACAAGGCACATGGTGGATTCAAGCAAAAAACTAATCGAAAATCTAGATAGGGACAAAATTTGATCAATATGAATTTGTAAGAGGCGTAAAATTATACTTTTAAAAGTAAGGGACTAAAAAGTTATTTTGCAAAGTGTGAGGGACGTTTTGAACAACTTTTCCTGTTATAATATTGTAATTATATTTTACTTATAGTTTCATTCTTATTTTATTCATTTACCTTTTTAAAAAATTTAAGACAAACTGTATAGTGTAAAAAACTAATATATGCATGTCATAATCAAAAAGTGTATATTACTAACAAATTGACTATTTAAAAAGATATGCAAACTAGAACTTTAAATTACTTAATATTGAAAAGTATATCCCAAAAAAATAAAGTAACTAATATTTTTATTTACTTTTTCATATATTGTTTATTAACCTCTATGTTATTTTGATTTGAATTTGTTACTATTGTTATTAGAAATTAGTCTATTCTAAACTCTAGATATATTGATTAAAAAATAGATGAAATAGTCTGTTCACATAGGTAATATGCTTTGTTATAGCATAGACTTTATGATAATTATTACTTCAACAAAGAGTAAAAAGTATAGAAATAAATAAAGAATAAGTTTAAGAAGATTAAAATTAATATATAGATGATAATAGTAAAGAGAAGAAAATAGTTGATCACATGAGGGAAAGGAGGAAAATTAAAAAATATAAAGGAATGACAAGTGAAGAAGAGAAAAATGAGAAAAAATAAATAAAATATATATCTATGCAATAATTAAGAGAGAGAAGTGGCAGTTGGGGTAAAAGTTTTGTGTCATTTTCTGAACTTCCAATTTTGTCCTTAAAAAAAATCAAATTTTACCCTAACCACCAAATCACACTTGCTAATATACTCTTCCATAACTCCCTTAAATATTCTAACTACTAAATTAACTATAACTATATTAAAGAAAAAATACCAATAAATTGTAATTTTTTATGAAGAATTCATACAAAATTTAATTTTGTAAAAAAACTTAATATATTCATAAAAATTAATAATTATTTCTAAACTACACATATATTGGGTATGCCTTTAGCACTAGTAATAATTAATATAGAAGGAGTATTTTTTCCTAAAACATAAAATAAGGGGGGAAAGTGCCCATTTACTGAGTTAAGGGAGGCAAACTGTCACTAAGAATAAGGTTGAGCGAGGTTTAATGCTTTTAACCCGAATGTAATATTAAGGTGCCTAAAACTTTTTCAAGTTGCATAATCCTTGTTTCCACATTAAGGATTCTTTGTTTGTGGATGTACATTGTGCTGGCAATATTGCCAGCTTTTCATCCAACAAGACACAATAATGTTGCAATGTATTCGCAAAGTCAACTCCTGATTCTTTTTTGTTTTATTTTTTGGAAAATAAATTAATGTGATTGATGCTCAATCTTTAAGTCAACTCTGATTCTTTTTGGTTTTCTTTTGGGAAATAAATTAAGGTATTCTTTTTGGGAAATAAATTAATGTGATTACGGCTCAATCTTTTGGTCATTAATCATTTCTTTATCCAAGAATAAGAGTTGGCATAGACTAGGTGTTTTAATTCTTAAGGGTGATATTGTGGTTGGCGATACTACCTGAGCCATAATCATCTTACCAAAGCAATATTTATGTAAATACTAACATTATTCTCAACTAATCAATCTCATATGTTTTCATTGACTTTGTTGGACCCATTATCCACCAATTATTCCTTTTTTTCTCTCTCTCATTGAGATAACGAGGTTGTCTACTTCTCACTTCTTCTTTGATTCTTGCTTTCCAACCTCTCTTCACTTTTTCTATTTACAATTTCTTTTCATTTTGCGATACTTTTGTATCATGTGGTTCAAGATCTTTTGCATAATACTCTTCTCAAGTTTGCTCTTACTATTTTTGCTGAACCTTATTTTTATGGTGCAATGGCTGTTTTAGTGGACAAGTTCATAACATATCTAGTCTATGCGCGAATGGGAGGCTTTTCAATCGGGCTTCAATTGCTGACGTGGCCCGCTTGTATTGGTTGATTGGTGGTTGTCCGCTCGTGTGAATTTGGTCGTCCGCTTCGTGTGAATTTGCTGGCCTACCGATTGTTTCTTCTTTTCTTTGTTTGCTTGGACGTCTGGCTTGGAAGTCTGCTGCTAAATTCTGGTCCCACGTGGCTTTGGTTGGCTTTGCTTTATTTCTTTTGGGTTTTTTTTTTTTTGCTTAGGCGTTCGGCAATCCTTTTGCCTTTTGTTTACCCGTGCCAATTTCCAATTGATTGCCATCCATTCCCATGCCTGAATTCTTTTGTTTTTTGTTCGCTCAAACGTTTAACAATTCTTTTGGATTTTATTTCTTTTTTTTTTTGCTCAGCCGTTTAGTAATACTTTTTTCCCAATTAATTTTTCGTTAGCTGATCAATAATTTCATTTTTTTTACCTAACACGTAACATTTAGCTTTCAACTTCTTACAATTATTACCATTTTTTGTAGTTTCCAAATAAATCACAATTAATTATCAAATCCTTGTAATTGACACATATTAATTATTATT